CTTTTCTGACACCTACTATGAGAGCTGAACTCCAGCTCCTGATTCTACCTTTATTCTGAGGCTACAATGATCACATTTCTGTGTCACACAGGTTGTTCTGGTCTGATCTGTCCCTTTTTTTTTTTTTTTTTTTTTTTTTGTCCAGGTGCCCCAACACCAGATAACTGATGCCCTCAAGCAAACGGAACAAACCTGAAGAAAGAAACTACATTTATATTTAAAAAGAAGTGAATAAAACTGCTGTAATTGCTTTAATACTATTTGAACCTGTCTTTTGTTTAAATAAACAGTAACTCTTAACTGTTTTCTCTGTAGTCTGTTGTGGTGAAACTGGGAACCCTTTGTATACTTTTTATGTAGTATTTGTGCCCCAAAAATAACAGTAATCATAAGACAGATAATGGAAGTGGTTTGCTTGCCAGAAATGCTTTAACTGAAGGTGTTATATGACCCAGTTGGCTACAGACCTGCTTAACAGTTTTCATATTTATATAAGTTATACATGTTAATATAAACATTGCTGGATACTTGGCATTGGTGTTAGCAGAACGCATCCAAATAAACAATTTGTCATGCGATTGTGACTTGAAGGCACAATCTGTTTGAACCTCCATAGATTTGTATATTCCCATAACTGAGGAGCTGTAAAGTTGGGTGTTTCCATCATTGGCGTAAAACATTTAAAGGTTTCATAGAACAATGTAAAATCTAGCTCCTATTGGCCCCTATTTTCATGACTGGAATAAATTTAGGAGGGACTTGACATTTGGATTTCAGATTAACAGAGTATATAATTACACAAATTTAATTTAAACTACATGAGCCTGAGATTTGAGTGAAGAATCTGAGGTTTCACACCTCGAAACGTTTGTCTACACTACAGCTCGGTACTTCAGTTGTAACACTAAAGGGAGTCGATGTGGAACCAGGGATGAGACATTTTGTCCCATCTCGGATTTTTCCGGTGACTTCGCTCTTTAACCTCATTTCTAATTTTAGCACAGATCTCAGGGGAATCTCTCGTAGCCTATTACCACAGAAACCGACACATCCGGTCATATGAATTAAAAAAAAATTAAAAATCTAGGTGTTTTCATGTCTAAGGGCGGGTCCTCATTTGCGTGTCCCTCTGGCGCGTGTGTCCAGATTTCCATACAGGTGCGTCTTCGGCTCCAGCCGCTCGTTTGACTGTCAAACCAGGCGGCGCGGCTTCCTTTTCCTCCGCCCTGCGCATCCCGCATCCAGTCGCTACCAGAGAGAAGCGCAGGGGAGTGCCCTGCACCGTGGCCAGCCGACACACACACACACACACACACACACACACAGCCTCCTCCTCCTCCTCTTCCTCCTCCTCCTGCACTGAAGCCGGACTCCTCCGCCGGGCAAAACTCCACCGACTCCCGACTACCAGCTGCTGTTGTCGCTGTCAAAGCCCCGTCTGCATCTCCCATCAGCCGGCTGCACACTAAAATCGACCCGCGGTCCTCTCCGGTAGGCCTGACGGTAAGAGCGGTTGTTTGTTTGCGTGTGTGTATGTGTGTGTGTGGAGGGGGGTGGGTAAGCATTTCCATTGACACATAATCACGATACAAATGCGTTTGACACGATGTTTTAGCTACACTGTGACCAGCTGTGCTCGCTTCATCCTCCTACGACTTCATTTAAGTGTAGATTTGCGATCAGCAGCCTGAAATATCCCAGATTCGGTGAGCCGATGGAGGCTGATGTCACTGTGACACATTTGGAGGATGTTATGATTAAATGATGGCCTTTTTTTTTAATGGAACATCTGGCTGCTGGTGAGACGGGAGGATGGATGCTGGTGGAGGAGACAGGCAGGCAGCGGACTTACTTAGATCCATTAAAAAGATGAGGAGGAGGAGGAGGAGGGAGAGACAGTTCCAGTAGAGAAGACTTAACTGATCCTGGTCGGCCTGAACTCTCATCTGGGCCCTCTCTCTCTCTCTCTCTCTCTCTCTCTCTCTGCTGTAATGTGGCCTGTGGCAGGGTGGGGCACACTTTACAATTAAAGTATAAATACTTAAAATCTTAAACCTTAGAGGAATGTAACAACGGGCATTTCTGTAAATATTGTACTCAAGCTGACTATAAAAACCTTTCTAATGTACTTCTGTGGTATAACGCTGCATTAATGTGCCGTTTCCTCTACAGCCGTGCATTCGAGGTATTTGTACTTCAGTGTTTCCATTTACCTGACGGTTACTCTGAAAGTATACAGTGCGAGTACACTCTGTTGCCAGTTTATTAGGTACACCAGGCTAAAACTAATGCAGTCTAAAACAACAGCACGACAATAAATAAATCAACGAAGGTTATAATGTTCCGTTTGGTGTGGATTCATTTGGGATGACATTGGAGGATGTAGTTCTGTGTGCTGTTGAGCAGTATTGCATCATACATAGGTATGTGTGTTATTTATCAATGAGGAATAAATGTGTCGAACAAACCTCTTTGTATAATACAATGTAGTTCGACAGCATCACAAACTGGGGCGATGTGGCCAGAATTTAATATGATATAGGTCATTTCATAGCTCAATAACGATGTGTATCACAAAATAGCATGTGTTTCTGTTAATTCAATGAATAAATTAAGAGTCTACATGAAATAACCACATGTTAAAGCCCATTTCTTTGTATACTCTCCTGTGAATTAAATACTAAATACTTCCTTAGTTTTCTTTGGTCCAAAAAAATCCAATAAAAATACCAAAACAATGAATTGATTATTCTAACCAGTGTTGTGTGTGTAGCCTGATATTTATTATCCCTCTGTGCTGTAAAAACAGTTAAAACCACATTAGTGCACCACACGGTTACACTGGCTGACATGTTCCTTCATTACGATGAACACGAGCACTTCAGATTATTCAGTTGATCCCGCTGCTGCCATAAATACTCAACAGAGCACCAAATGTGTATTAATCCGCCAATGTAAATAGTCCCCAAATAAATAGGCTATATATTAGTATAAAGAACATTTTAAAATCTACTTTTGGTGTTTTTATGAGATTTGCTGTTAAATAGAGTATTTCTACAGTTATTTAAAGGTTCAACATCTTCCATCAGATACAAAAATGCCAAACAGTGTCCCTCACTAGAGGTACAGACACTTAAGTAGTTACGATCTTTTTTTTTTTTAAACTACTCACGGCAGGTTACATCAATAGGTCAGTGTAGCATTTTGACAGCAACTATCTCAAAATGAATGTGTCCCGTTAACCTCTTCCCTCTGGTGAAGCTCTCCAGAGCGGCTGCCATCTGGTCTTCATACGGGTTTCTCCATTATCGTCATAAACATATCAAACAGAGTGGTTCCCACCGAGGGGTCACAACATTTATCTGAAGGGTCACAAGAGAAGAAAACAAGAAGAAAATATTTCTCCCTTCGAAATATGCTTTTTCCAGACTAACTTTCCTCTAATCTGCTCTTAATTCTTAAAGGACCTTGAAGAATTATTCAAATAAAGTGAAGGGAAACACTCTGTGGTTGCAAATGTGTACTGGTTGTGACCAGACGAGGGGTTTTTAATCACCGGGTCGGGTTGTTTTTGGAGAGGAGACCGCTGCAGGAAAAATCTCCCGACGATGAACTAACTGGGAAAAGGAAGACAACTCCCATGATGCAACACTGCTACTACACAACATCACGACCCCTTGCGGCATAAAAACGATATATCATGTGTTTAACTGTAATCACACAAAACATTTGATATATCTTGATTTCCACCTACATTTTCATATAAAGTGTGTTGTGTGCGTTTCTTTTTTGTGAACAGCAGTAGCATCATGGAGGAGTTAGACGTTCCACAGATGAGGAGAGAAGTGGAAAGCCTTCAGTATCAGCTGGCAATCAACAGAGAGAAATCCTCCATCACCGTTACTGAGTGAGTGTGCAGTCCACACACACACACACACACACACACATATATACATATATACATACATACACACACACACACACACACACACTCTCTCTTAAGTATTGAGGATCAGATTCGTGCTCACAGTGTTTTGTCTATTTCTAGGCTGGTGAAGTGGATCGAGGGTTGTGTTTGTGAAGATCCATTTCTGAACCCTGAGCTGATGAGAGCTAACCCCTGGGTGGAGAAGGGCAAGTGTGTGATCCTCTAATGGTCACACACACACAATCACAGATGCATATAAACTAAAGAATCATGCACTCCCACGCAAAGTCACGCTGCACTAACCCACCCATTCTCTCCCCCTCTCACACACACACACACACACACACACACACATTATTGCTATCATCATGTTTATTTATTGGGAGACTCCTGAATGCTTTTAATTTATGTAAAGACTACTGTGTGTTTGTGTGTGAGCATGCAGCACCGAGTAGCTTTCTAGAGGTTTGTTTTCATGGACTGCTGAGAAATGTTCAACAACACGTTTTTATTGGCTCTTTACACTGTCAATCAAAATAAAGACTGTTTTGAATTTAACAGCTGGATTTTAGATTTATTGATGCGCTTACATGTGACATACAGGCGGTTGTGTCTGTGTGTGTGTGTTACAGTAGTTCTCGGATGTAGACATTTCGTCTGACAGCGTTGGACATGCCCTCGTTGAACCGGAACCACACGTCACTGTCGCCCACCGCCTTCCCCATACAAACAGCAGCACACTTCTCACCTGCAGAGAAAGGGAAGGAGCCGTTATTATTGGGTGCTTTTCTATTCAGAATCAGGTTTATTGTGGTGTGTTGTTTTGGTGCGTCACAAAAAAACAAGTACTGCAAAAGTCATGAATCACAAATATAAAATAGACATTTTAAATAAAAAATAAGACGGTAATATAGAGTTTTATAGACTACACGGCCGATTGCCTTTAAAGCTTCTCTCAAGTGACCTCATGACTAGTCAATGAATAAATAAATTAACCTGGCGATTGTTTGCTCAATGCATTGATTATTAATCATGATAATAGTTATTTATATCGCACTTTTCTGCTTCACAACAAAAGACGAAATGCAAAGTAAAAGATAAAACAGACAAGAAATGCTAAAAACAAAAATGTCAGAAATCACAATTTCCCAAAGCCCAGTGTTTTCTCTGAACCTCAACAAATATTCAGTTTATTTTCATAGACGGGTACAAATACTCACAGTTTTAGAATCCGGATCGAGTAAGTTTCTATCATTTTAGCTTTGAGTGCGACTTAAACCATTAATTGATTGCCAAAACTGTCGCGGATTAATTTGATCAACTAATCGATTCAGCTCTAATCTAATCCTCTCAAGAGACAAAAATAAACGACTTCCCCAGTGGGAGGATTTGAAGCTCTCTCGTATGATTAGAAAACCTGAATACCTTTTCTCTCAACATTTCACCTTTTTATCAGCTTTAGCTCCGAGAAGTTGTGATGAAAAACAAACCCTATGTTCTGTCTTCTAGAGGCTAAAATAACAAATACTGAAAATGAGCATTAACTGGAGTCCGACTCACAGCCCAGTGTGCCGTTCCGTATATCACCGACTTGACTCATCATTTCCATCAACCGGTGTTTTACTCACCTCGCCACATTTCACGAAAGATTGTTGAAATATGCAGAAACATCTGCGTGACCCCTCGGGGCTCTCATGCAAGCATAGCATTTGCTTTTGATTAATCAAACATGTGAAAATGAAGAGGAGAGCTGCGGACCCCGTTGTTGATCCTACTTTGACCTACAAACAGCCACAGCTCTGCTTCTCCATCCCACCGATCCACTTCAGTAATGCAGTGCTTTCAGGAACGCGAGTGGTTTTAATGGATCCACTTTTCCTGGAGCGCCGAGCGCTGAATCTTGGCCGCTGTCAACGACTGAATAAAAAGCAACAGGTATTTGTGCAAAGCATGTTTTGAGTTGCAATTACAGTAATCACCGACCTGCACACACCTGTGAGCCAAACTAAGACGACTTTGACTCAGACTAATATTTGTTTAAACCTGTTTTTCCTCCACAGTTAAAAGGAACAGGTTTCTGTGGTTGATGTTGATGTTCATGCAGTAAATGACAAATACTGCATATTGTTTATTACTGGATATTATAAGAAGTCACAGAGGAACAATAATATGCTCCAAAGTTGTGTCCACTTTCTGACGCCACACTGGTGTCGCACAGTCCGAGGGTTCTACAGTACCTGTCTCTGAGGTGGGCTGCGGTTTCTGGGGTTTGGGGACAACAACTCGACCAAAGAAGTCCACCTCCGGCTGCAAGACATGAAAACACACAAAACACAGCGTGAGGATGAGGATGAGGTTTAGTCAGGAAGTTTCTGGAACACCGTCCTCAAGAAGGAGGTCAATGACAAGGAACGATCACATCACACACCATCTCTCATTAGCCTGATTTCACAGTTTCGCCATGAGGGACTGTAACCCAGTGGCTCCTCATTATCCTCATTTCTGCCCTCTAGAGGTTCTCTCTATTCCTGAAGCACTAGAGCTGCAGCTCAGCCACAGGGGCTCTGATGGTTCAGGGCAAACAGATACTGGCTCCACCTGCCGGCACCAACTAACACATAAAGACCACGGGACGCTCAGACAGTGCTGATCCCCGACTCAACTAGGGGATTAAATAACCAAAGAAAAAGGTCAAAACTATAAGCAGAAATGGTCAGTCCCTGAAAAACACACCCTGTAGGAACAAAAAAAGGTCTTAAGACTGAAAGTGTTGCAGCTGAAATGCTTTAATCTTTTTAGTTGATCAATCCATGTTCATAATATCTATGGTGGTGACATTTTCAGCTTAAAATGTGCACATGTATACATGTTGTATGGGATAAAAGAATATATTTAATGGCGTAACAAATCAAATGACATTAAAGTAAAACTTACATGAACTGACATCAATATTTAAAGAGCAATATACGACATTCAGAGCATTATTATAGCAGAAAACAACTATTTTCTGTGTAAAGATATAGTGGAGTAACGTCTACCTGAGCAGGGAATGAAGTCACTCTCCCTCTGTGTGTAATCTGAGCTTCTCTTTGCTTTGTGAGCGTGCCCCACTGACCCATTGTGGCCGCCGCTCTACACTGCTCTCATTCATATTCAGCTCATCACTGACCACAGGAAGCTGTGTACTTGTATTAATGGTTTTGTGGGGACGTAGTCAGATTATGGAGAATCACTTCTGTGGATAAAAAAAATTAAAAAAACGTGTCCCCACAAGTTAAACCATCAAACTGCATTAATATTAAGTCTATAGTTGAGATTACGTGAGTTAAGGTTAGGGTGCATCTCCAGGGAATCTATGTAAGGCGATGTAATGTCCTCCGAAGTGAGAAAAACACGTGTGTGTGTGCGTGTGTGTGTGTCTCACCCTGATCTCCACTGTGGTCTGTTTGACGATGTTCTCCAGCCTCTGCTGGTGGTTCCTGGTGGATGTAGGAGCGGCCCTCTTTTTTCCCTCCTCTTGCGGCTTAACACAGACACAGCAGATGAGAAACACGTTAGCTTATTAACTCGTCTACAGGCTGAGCCGTTTATAACACAACCTAACTGTCTCACGGTTGCAGGGTTTCGTTGCAGCATCAGTTGCTCGGCTCGCCTCATCTTCTCTTGCTCCATCTCTCTGCCGATGGTTTGTTTGGCCTGATACGTCAGCTGACGGCGCGGCGGCAGACCCGGAAACCTCACGACCTCCTCGACACGCCTGCAAACACACACACACACACACACACACACACACACACACACACACACACA